CAAAAGTACAAAGGCGCGGCAGGCGCGGGGAGAAGGATGCTAGGCGTGTGCACGAGAGAAATTAATATTCTGGTTTCCAGCTGCAAGTCTCTTCTCTGCATTCTTTCCCTTCCGTGTCGTCCTTCCTTCCTTCTTCCATGACCACCTGGGTCTGGGTGAAGAGAGAGGACGTGGGGCGGCTTCTAAACAGAATCCCAATGGCCGCTGGTGGCCTCTTGGCCCATGGGGATGGGCACACCTGACTGGGAATCCAGTTCACCTGTCCAGGTAGACTCTGCTGCCTCTGAGGGAGGCTGCCCCTTGGGCTTGGGAGGGTTGGAAAGAGAGCCGGTGTGTGCCGGTGGGGGCCCCTAAAGCAACGCCCACTCCTCCTCTGGGGTCTGCAAGGAGCTGAGTTCATCCTGGGCTTGTTCCCAAGACATGTTTTAAGGGCCAACCTCTTAGCCTTCCTCCAAAATGTCTCTACTTGGCAAGTCCTTCTTTGGTGAGGTGTTGGGCTGGGTGAGAGGTGATGGGTATGGCGGAAAGAGAAGGGGGCTGGCACAGAGCTTGGCACGGAGCTGGCACTCAATTTAAGTGACTAAATGAATGAAGGGAGGGAGGAAGTCCTGAATATGTGGGTTTTGGAATCAGATTGACATGTGCAGTTTTGCAGCTCTGCCCAGTACTGGCTGTCTGACCCTGGGCAAGTGACTTCACCCCTTTGAGCCTCAGTTTCCCCATCTGTCAAATGGCCCCCTACCACCTATCTCCTCGAGTCCCAGGAAGATTAAAAATTACATATGCAAATGCCCAGCACCGTCCCTGCTGAAGACGGGCTTGTAGAGGTTGATGGTTTTTATCAAAAGCCAAGTTGCTGCCCTTCCAGAAACATCATCAGGGCCCAGAGAATCATGTGGCGCCCGAGACACTACAGACAGCTGTGCACATAAGCGCAGACCCAGGCCCCCCGGGGAAGACCCGTGCATATGGGACGCATTCGCATCCTTGCCTTCTCGGCTGTCCTCATCAACCTTTGTCCCCTGCTTTCCTCCGCCACGTTGGAGGAAGGCTCTTTGAGAAACGCTGGATCGTCACACCTGGAGGTTTAGATGACACGGGCACTTTCAGTGGGACTGACATTCACTGCCAGGGACATCGGGGGATGATACAACATCCCAGGCCGGGAGAACACGCCAGCTCATGGAGCCTGTGACGAGGGCAGAGGCCAGGTCCCACCTCTGGTTCAGCATCTCAGCAGCAGAGCCGGGTCTTGGCTTCCCATTGCCTCCCAGGGCTCTGTAGCGGCTGCACGGCCAGAGCTCAGCAAATGGTCGGGGAGACTGAGGAGGGAGTTATGCAAATCTCCCGCCATTCCCGGGCAGCTGCAGGTTGGGACGAGACAATGTGCGTGCGGTGTACATGTCACACACAAAGCCGGCGCTGCGGCCGTGGGAGCCTCTGGCTGTTGTCATCAGTTGCCTGGTTACTCTGAGCTCTGCCACATCAGCCTTTGCGGAGCCTCACGCTAGGATTCTTTCCAGTTTGGGGTGCGTGCTTGACCCAGGGGGCTTGAGGGACAACAGAGTGCCTGGTGATGTGCGGGGTGGAACATGGTGTCATGGAGAAAGGTTGGAAGCCTCGGAATCCCTGGGCGCAGGGAGGCACGTGCTTGGGGCCCAGGCAAAGACAATGGTGCTGAGGGGATGGCTCTAGGAATAACTGGGGCCCAATTCTTCTCTCTTCCACCAGCTGGCGAAGCAGACTGGTTGATGCCAGGGAAGGAGCACTGTACAGGGAGTCCTTTTCATATTTTCCTCCCTGTCTCCTCTTCTCCCATTGGAGGACTGCTCGGGGCCCCCACAGGAGGCTCACATCTCCAGGTCCCAGCTGTTGCTGATGCCGAAAGAGCGACCGACTATTTACCTGGACGGAGGGCATCACGACAGGAAACGGGAGCAAAGCCCTTGGAGAGGGGTTCCAGTGGGTCAGGGCTCAGGCAAGGCCTGGGAAGGGTTCTAAAGGAGGTCTCCTTCCCCAGAGCGCTTCAGAAGGAGGAGAACTGCGCCGGGGGAGCTGGCCCCAAGAAACTGGGGATCATGGAGGCTCCCCTGCCAGCCCTGGGATTCCCATGAATTCCTTCTACTGAGTAAAAAAAGATCCGCGGGATTTTTCACTCAGTATCTCCTTGCAGCATCGTGCTCCTCTTCAAACTCACGCCCACCCTTGAGCTAACTAGGTATTTACAATATTCAGAATTCTATTCACCGATATGCAGTGCACACGGCTCTGTGGGTCAGTGGAGAGCGCTAAATGCTCCACTCGGAAGACAATCAGGTTCTTCAGACAGACAGGGAGGAGAGGGAGAAGCAACGGCAGCTTCTCCGGGAAGTGAAAAGAGCAAAGGGATCTTTGCAGGAGAGATGTGCTCGGGGTGGGTTCACACTTGGTGGCAGACCAGCTTCGAGGTAGCAGCACAAAGGGCCCTCGTGCGCCGCGTCACCTGAGGCGGTGAGAGGGAACAGCGGGGCCAGAAACAGCTCCGGAGCCAGGCCGCCGCCTGCCGGAGGCAAGGGGCAGTGATAGCCAGTCCTGGAGGGGCTGTGGGCTGAGTCTTCACTGTCCTCGGCTGCCCTTTCTCCTCCAGGAGCCCGGAATGGAAGGCAGGGAGGGGAGGGGCCCCCTCCGTGAGTCACCAGACGGCTGTGCTGGGCTTTGGAATTAACATCTGCAGCCTGGTGTCCGGTGCCGAGCCCTGGCTAATTGGGCACTAGCACTGTCCACCTGAGAAGCCCCCTTCTGCTCTAACGATCCCAGAGAACAGAACTGCACTGACTGCGTCCTGGCAATGGGGTGTGGGGAATCTCAAGGCTGAGAGCCTGTGCCTGGTCTAACCCTCTAGGCCCCGAGAGCCGTGTCAGTTCTGACATCAACCTCTGCTCTGGAGAGAGGCCGCCGTGTGGAAGGGTGGCTTCCAGCTGAGGCGGCTCTGATGTCTCTCCTCTGCTCCTTCCTCATCGCTTCCTTGTACATCATCGCCACCATCACCACCATCACCATCCTCCTCCTCGTTGCAGCTGACAGACAGGGCGCACAGGGGCCAGGCCCTGTTCTCGGAACATCTTCTCACCAAACCTCACAACAACCCCATGAGGAAAATCCCATTACTGTTTTATAAGGGGGGAAACTGAGGCATACAGTCAGGAAGTCATCTGCCCATGGCCACACAGCAGGTATGGGGCAGTGCTAGGATTCAAACTCAGGCTGTCAGGCTTCACTGTTTGGGCTCTCACCGCTGGCCCTTACCCTGCCCTTCAAGAGAGACACTGCTTAGGCGCATGGGGTGACCCCCCATCTCTCTCCCCCACTCACAATCTCGTGCAGGAACCCTGACATGAAACAGATGGCAGTGGTTCTACAGGCGCCTGCCCAATCCCCCAGGAGGCCCAGAACTTGATGGAACATGGTGGAACAAACACCACCTGTACTCCCCTTCTCTCTCCGAAGATGAAGGGCCGGCTGGCTCTGAAGGGACCTGGGCTCGTGGAAACAGCTCACTTGTCTTAAGCACTCTGTGCCAGGACCAGAGTCAGGGTTTCATGTGCGCCATCTGCCTTCACCCTGAGGTGGGATCTGTTGTTATTCCTGTTTTACAGATGAGGAGACTGAGGCACGGGGCAGGGTAAGGAAGCCCAGCCACCAGCAGTAAGAGCCTGTGCTCTGGATGGCTGCCCTCCACGGCTTCCCTCCGAGCCAATGTGGGGATCCCAAAGGCGCCTGCCCTGCTGATGGGAACAAGGGCGGGGGCCTGCTGAGTGCAGGGGGCGCTGCCCCTGCTGTCACGACGGGAGACGAGGGAAAGGCTGCCAGCCAAGAAGAAAGAGGAGCAGATGTCCAGACAAATGTGGCCACGTGTCAACAAAACAGGCACTTGAGCTCAAGACACCGAGACAAAGGTGGCTGGCAAGGCTCCTCGGGGTCCTGGGGGTGCCCTCGCTGCCTGTGCGTGTTCCCAGGGCCCACAAAGGCCGCAGCTGTGTCCCTGCGATGTCACCTCTGGCTCCACCCATGGGCTCTGCAACGCCAAGTTGCTGAGGGCCAGTGGGTGTGATTCCAACAACACCCCTGCTTTCCCACAGGACGCCTCGGCAGTGGTGGGGGGGATGCCAGCCGCGGTGAGACTGCCCACTGCTTCATCGTACCCTCAGGGAAAGAGGAGGCCGAGAGGGGAACGGCCTCCCGCAGGGACCGAGTTCACAGAGGGAGCCCATAATGACAGCGTGCTGTCACCTCCTTTGGGGATTCTGACCTGGTGCTACGAGGGCAGCGACCGTGGACACAGCCGGAACCCAATCACACAAGCTCTGCCCACATCTGCCGCTGGGCCGGGTGAGGACCCAGTCCCCACGGCAAGGACGAAGCCCTGCCGTGCTGCATGGAGCCCAAACCCGGAGAGGCTGCCTGGTTTCAAAAGTAAAAGGTATTCTACGTCTCCAAGGCGCCTGCAGGAATTCTGTACACGGGTGTATACACAGCAGCACCCGTCTGGGCCGACCTCACCTGTAACCAGCACACAACAGAAGTCCTGGCCACCAGTGGGAAGGGCAAGGGGAAGGAGGTGTCCCCTGGGCTCCCACTTGGGTGCCTTGTGGCCTCCCTTCCCAGCACTGTCTCCTGGATCCCCTGCACTCTGCACAGCCTCTCCCACCTCTGGGGGCTCAGACGGAGGGGCTTTGTCTGACCTGGAGAGGCCTGGGAAATCACGTGCTTCCCCACTTTGCATCCCAGGTTCCTGCACATGTGACGTGGGGGAGGGAGAGGGGCACAGAACTGCCCCTTCCTTCAAACACAAAGCCCAGGGTCTTTTCTTCCAAGGATGCTGTGTAAATGAGCGGGGTCAGGGGAGAAAAGAGAAAAACCATATGGGGCGGCCACACACCCATGTTTGCTAAGAGGCCTTGCTGCTTCTCCTGCAAAGAGTCCAGAAAGGACAGGTCAGGCTGGAGGGGCCGTTGTCTCACCTTCGCGTCCTGCTTAGTGAGGAAGTCGACAAAGCCGAACCCTCTGTGCGAGCCTGTCCCGGTCATCTTCTTTGGCAGGCGGACGGTCTTCAGCTCCCCGAAGGTGCTGGAACAAAATGCAAAATGGGAGGTTCAGAACGGAGGCCTTCAAAGGGGGAGCGGGGCAGGACCCATTCCCACATGCTGATCCCTTCCAGTCAGAGAAGGGAAGTGCTTGCAGGTGTACATATACACACCCATACACGCACACACACATACATACACATGCACACACACACGCACACACATGCGTCAGCTCCCACTGCTAGCATAAGCTCCGGGGCGTGAGTGGCTTTCTCCTTCTAGACTCCGGTCACCACGCTGGGCAGGGAGGGAATGATGAGGTTGGAGACGCTGACGGAGAATGTTCGGTCTCTCTCTGACAAGCTGGCACACTCGTCCTCCCCTTGCCTGCGCAGGTGAACATTCGGCAAGGGGATCCAGCCTTGTACACGCATGGCCAGGCTGGGGAGGCACCAGCCAGGGCCAGGGGCTGCTCGTGTGTGTGAGCTGAGGCCCTGGCCTCAGGGTCAGCGGGGTCTCCTGACCTGAATCCGCCTCCACGGCTGAGCTGGGCGCACGGCGAGCCTGCACTGAGCAAACAGGACGAGCCCCTTCGCCCAGTCGGGGACCTGGGATGCTCCTTCAGCGCTCGGCGCTCCAATGACAGGCAGCTACTCCCTCTAAAGCCCACTTCCCCTGCCTCTGGGCTTCCGTTTTGATATCTGCTAAGCCAAAGTCAGGCAAAGCTCTGGAGAAGAAGATGGCTTGGCTCCCCCCGACAGGGATCAAATAGGTAAACACGGCCTCGGACCATCCCCCGGGCCCCCCTCCTTTCCTCTCAGATAAACCTTTGAGAGATTCCCGGACAAAAGGATTGGGTCTCCCTGCTTTCCCATCTCACTCCCCCACGCCGACCCCACCCTAATGTCCATTTATCAAATATATACGCACAAATTGCTGCCGATAAATATTTAATGTGAAGCATCTGAAGAGACGTATTATTTTATTTGAAAACCTACATACACTTGCGGTGTCTGGGAGCACAGACATCCACACGCCGGTCTAGGAGGCTTCAGGGCCAGAGACCGATTGGGTAAGAAACACAGTAAAGGCTGTAAGCTCTCATGAAATGATATAAGCTAAATCCAAGGTGTTAACCCACAGCCCTGCCAGCATGACCAGGCATCTGCCAGCCCAATTTCTGCAGGCAGGACGGTGTGTAAATGCAGCATTATGAAGCCTCAAAATGAATCTGCACGTCTCCTCGGAGCTCTCCCCGGCAGCCCGCTCCCCCCTCCTGCTGCCTCTCGGAGCAGGAGACAGAAACTGGACTGCTGGCGACAAGGCCAGCCTCCCGGGGAAGGGGAGGGCTGGAGAGACGGCAGTGGAGGCCTGTCAGTCTTCCTGGCTGCCGGCTGAGGCTCGGATTTGGAGGGGGGCCTTTTGGGGCTCAGAGGCCGGGCAGGTGGGGACAAGCAAGAAGGTGAGGTGGGAGAGCTGAGGGGAGCCAAGCCTGCAAACCCTGCTTTCTTCTGCCACCTACAGGCCGACGCGTCCCATGACACACAGGCTGCCTCTCCTCCACAGAGGCCCCGTGCCTCCGCCAGGGCTGGGAGGGCAGAGGAGGGACGAGTTCTCTTGCAGCCTCCTTCAGATAAAAGGTCCTTTGGCTCTAAGTTCTTCAGAGAGCCATGGGGACCACAGGATCTGACGGCCATGAGGACCGGGTCTGAGCGCATTCAGAGCCGGTGTGGGAAGGCTGACGGGCACAGGGCGGCCTCCGCGAGCGCCTCCTACGTTCCCCAGCCACGCTCACAGACAGCCCACGGGTGTGCTGGTCTCTCCGCCCGCTCTCCACCCCTACCCCAGCCTCTTTCAGGCCTCGGTTTCACTGCTGCTTGCTCCAGCAGCCTGTGCCGATCTCCCCTAGGCCAGGTGGACGCCCCGCCAGCAGTCAGGGTTCACTGTGCTCCTCGACCAGCGCACGGTGGTGTGGACGCCTGAGCAGCTCTCTGCCGTCCCCTGGCGCTGAAACTCAGCTCCAAGAGCAGAAACCACAACTGTCTTGCTCATCACGGGATCTGCAGCAAGGAGCCCAGTGCTTGGCTCAGTGGATGCTGGAAGTTATTTCTGGAGTGAACACACGGGCAAATGGTAGCCCTGGAAGGTGGATGTGACCCCTGGCAGGTACAAGACACCTACAGAGAGGGGTGTGTAGGATTACATGAAATGGGCCATGGAGTACATACGAACAGCACAAATGCTAATTATTAGTCTTACCGCCCCCCATTTCACAGATGCAGAAACTGAGGCCCAGGGAGGCGGCAGCTCTTGCTAGGAAGGGGCAGGGCTAGACTGAATTCAGGTGAGTCTGACGTTAGCTGGAGCTCTCTCTTTCCACTGTACCATGTTCCACCCCCTCCAATTATCTGGAGGGAACTGGCTCCTTTCAGGAGCTGGGTTTCCTTCTTTCTGAGGCGTGGCCCCGTCTGGCATGAAGCAGGAAGGCTGCGTGTGGGGGCGGCTATGAATGCCCTATGTGGACTCTGAGGGGTCCAGTGACTTGCCCAAGACCCCAGGGCAAGGGAGGCCGACTGAGTCCAGTGCCTTCCACCCACATCATGTGCAAACCTCCTGTCTTTGCCCACGGGGGCTCTAACCCTGTCCCTTGATGGTCTCAATGGCCTCTGCCCAAATTTCTTCTTAGCCATGTCTAATTTCTGGTGAGCCAGCCTATGGGTGTGTGTGCATGTGAAAGACAGACAGACAGAGAGAGAGAGAGAGAGAGAGAGAGAGAGAAAGAAAGAGACTGTTGAGGTTAATGCCTCCCTCTCTGCAGCACACTGCAAGCTGTGGATGCTCTGTGCATGGTAAGCAGCTAAGGGTCTGGAGAAAGGTGAGGAAAATAATTAAAAGGTGGAGAAAAAAGCTGATGAGGAGAGGCTGAAGGAGCCGGGTTTACATGGCCTGGAGAAGTGACATCTGAGGGCTCGGCAGGGGGAGCTGTGACAGAGGGGTACCCTGGATCCATGAAGGATCTTGGGCAGGGATCAGGGAGCTGGGATCCCGTCCCAGGCAGCTGGGGGCGGTGAGGAGGTCACAGCCCTGTCTGGTGTTTCCAGACAGACATCTGCACAGCAAATGAGAAGCTGTGTCCAAAGACCCTAGTAGCTTAAAAAACCCCATTATTCTTCAGGGGCTCAGGGAAATGGCTCTGGTGAGCATGTTTCCCTTCCCTTCTGAGAACAGGACAAGACAGAGCTGGGCCTTATGGAGCAGCTGGAAGATTATAGTTAGATCTTAGAAGGAACTTATGATGTCTACAAAGCCTGGAAATGAACAGCTGAGGTTTCAAGACACCATCATTGCTGACAAACGTCCCAGTGCCTGCGATGTGCTAGGCCTTTTAAAAATATGCTTTCCAGGTGCAGGAACTGGGAGCCAATAGCGTTACTGCCTCCATTTTTACAGATCAGAGAACCAAGGGCCACAGAGGCAAATTGACCTGCCCACGTCCCAAAGCACAGGACTCAACACCCAGGCGAGCTCTTCCCCATGCCACCTCTCCCAGCTCAAGAACAACGCTGGGAAATGGACAGCTTTGGTTGTGGGTATAACTGAGTAGGATAATATAAGGCCGATGCTAATGATCTCAAACAGATATTGAAAGAGAATTAAAAAGAAAAAAAAAGGTTGGGGGGAAAAAATCGATGAAGTACCTTTAGCTCCTTGGAGATAAGCGATATATATAAATACCAGCCATTATTAAGGCTCTTATCTGACAGCAAAGTCCAGGGAGCCATTGTTAAGAGTGGCTTCAGAAGGAAGTTCTGCGTGGACCCTGTCTCCTGGGGGCAGAGGCCGCCGCCTGGGCAAGGCTGGGCAGGGCCCCCAGGGACCAGAGACGGAGCAAAATCACGGGGCGCCCAGCAACGCCCACCCAGCCCAGACTCCGCGCTCGGGGAAGGAGAGGAGTATGCTCCCCACTGTGTAGATAATAGAAACCACAAAATAGCAATTACTGTATCAGAAACTGTGAATAAAGAGGACACACCGGGCTTTAAACACGGCCCTCCTTCCCTCCCCCACCTCGCTCACACTTCAGTAACAAACTCACACCTCACTTTTCCAATTATTTCATTCACCTCGGGTTCACCAATTACTCCCCACGCCGCAGCCCCACCCCCTCCCACGCCAGGAGCGCACGACTGGGGGCGGATTGGTGGGTCTTCCACCACTGGCATCTGCTGTCACGTTTCTCATTTCTTTGGAGGGTGTGGGGGTGGGGTGGAGGTGGGAGGGGGCGCCGAGGTGTTGAGCGAGGCAAGCCAATTATGCCCGGCCCTCATAAACAAGTCTGGGCATGCAAATCGTGTTTGCACACAGGCCCGAGAGCAGACGCAGTGTGTGTGCGCCCCGAGTGCGATCAGGGATTTCCACCCCCGAGCACACGGCGCGCCCCCTGACCCGACCTGCCACAGCCCCGGCCAGCGACTGCTCGGGGGTTTTGGCTCCGCTATGGAAAAGGGATGAATCATCCAATCTCTCCTCCTTGACTGAAGTGACGGGATCAGGGGGAAGGAGTGAGAGGCAAGGTGAGGGGGAGACAAGACAACCCTCCAGAGATGCTGAACTTGACAATTTTGCAGCTGCTCTGGTGCCTGGGTTGTGGGGCTTAATGGGTAGGCTAGGAGGCTGGTCTAACCCTCAAGCCTGCATGCTGACACCAAGTGGGGGTCCAAGACACCCTAGGCTCCTCTGCTCCCACGACACAAGTCCTTATCACTCTCCTATTTGGATCTGCAGAAGGAACCAGAACCCCAGCAGAAGAGGCAAGTCACATGGGGAAGTTTGTTGGCATGTCTACTCCCCACCTGCGCTCAAGGTATCGCTGAGCAAGAAAAAAATCTGCTGCCACCCCCAGAGTCAGAACAACAGTGCATCTCAACAAGATGAAGGGGTGGTTTTGTGATGGGAGCAGACCACAGGCTTCTTTCTGTGCCTTCCAGAGGTTAGCAAAAGGGCTAAATCTAAAAGGCATTAAAAAGCCTTTCAGATATACCA